CACTGAATGCTGGACAATCTCCTCATAAATGAAGAAGAGACTTGAAGCAACAAAATTATGGTTATACAAAAGGATGCTGAGAAAACCATAGACTGAACATGTGAGTAATGATGAAGTTCAAGAGAAAATAAAAAGGACATTTATACTTAACACCAGGAAATAACAGTTGAAATTTTAAGGCACATATTAAGGAAAGGGGGCTTGCAAAATTTGATACTCAGAGGCTAGATTGAAGGCAAGAGTGGGTAGCAGGAAACAATGCTATTGTGAGACCGGGACTACCTACACAATACTCTTCCAGGTCTATATTAAGTATGCGACACAACACTCTAGACGCAGAGAGACAGAGAGAACCACGTACGACTACCAGTATTGGACACTAACATATAGTAAGCTCCGCTTACACGATCTCTGTAACCTGTTGTTAATATATCTTTCTTACATCTAATCCATGTTCCGTGTTTTCCTTCTGTGGTCCCGACTTTGGCCCCACATCAAATGCATAACCTAGTGGATATGTAGCTAAAAAACACAGCGTAAACTGATCTTTGTAGCCTTGGTTGGGTAGGAAATGTACGACTTTGAAACAAAGAAAAAGACTACTGAATTGTTATGCATTATCATTCCTCTTATATGGCAGTGAATGCTGGACAAACTCCTCACAGATGAAGAAGAGACTTAAAGGAACAAAAATGTGGTTCTACAGAAGGATGCTATCATACCATGAACCGAACACGTGAAAACTGACAAATATTCTGGACAATGACAATAAAAAGGACATATGCTTAACATCAGGAAGAGACTGTTGGAAATTCGATACTCACAGGACAAATTGAAGCTAAGAGGGTGGTTAGAGGAAAGCAACATCGATACCTACCGAATCGACAGAAGAGCAGGGTTTCGAAGAGATGAGTAAAAGACAAAAGTTATTAAGAATTACAACCAACGCCCTTCCTGATGACATCAGTTGACAACTTGGTATCTGAGCTGATGACAACCATTTACTCCTGTTTTGATTATAAGGCTGATCAATTCGATAAAGTCAAATTGGTAGGCGATCTAAAAATGATCTACAATTTGTTGTTAACTGGGGTAAGAAATGTCTTGTTAATTTTAACGCTTCAAAAACGAATCTTCTCTCTATTAATCACACGAAAGACGCCTATCAATATGGCTGACACTAACCTCCATGACAAACACCCTCAGCTGATATGAAATGAAAAAAAAATTATCGAATGACTTGCTAGGTTATCTGCTAAGAAAGTCAGGGTCATTGTGTCACGCTAGACAGTTTAAGTCTTGCTGTCACATTTAATGAGGTGCTCCCGTTGTCTGTTTAAAGAATCAGTAATATGATTGGTCCTAACTCGGCATCTCGGTTTCAAACACTTCCTGGCCACTTTAATGTAGCTTCTCTGTGTCTTTTCTAGAAATAATTCATTGGTAATTCTTCGCGTGAACTCTTCGCTATGGTGCCTAGACTTTATGAATTATACTAGATTGGCGGTGAGGTCTCATCAATTCACAGGTTAGTTGGCTAGATGTAACTGTCAGTTTTATGCTAACAGTTTCTTTACTCGCAATTTTCGCTGATGGAACTGTCTTCTAGTTTCATGCTTTCCAGTTAACTTTGATCTTCAAAAAACGTAAATGCAATGTCAATCGATATCTACCATTCTGATTAGTCTTATATTCTTCTCGCCCGTTCTGATTATGACGATAAACTACATCCGGCAGCAAGATCGGTAGACGTTGTGGAGCGTGGAGCCTCCTATTAATTGCTGTTGTTCCCAAGTTCACCATGACCCGGAGTGGTAGTACCTGTCAGGGCCCCAGCTTTGGGCAAATAGTTAACCCCAAAACTGGAATCAAAATACTATGAAAGTATAAAATGTCTAGCAATAACTTTTAATAGTAGAAATCCAAATTCCAGAAATAGATTTCAATGTTCAAAAAGAAATTAAAGCCCCCAAGTAATTTAAATTTCGGCATTAAATTATCCATGGGGAGTTGATATACCTGTACTGATAAATCATCAGTTACCTCCCCTTAAGAGCTAAGAGGCATAAAAAGCACCCTGTTAGATCCGTCAGTAGACGAGTAGTTAGAGTAACATGCAATAAAGCTTTGGTATAAGTTTATTCAATGGTTCCGTTTTTACTACAATTAAATAAACCAAATCAAATATTCTTATCACTCCCTAATTATTTTTTTTTCTTGTTCTTCCACACTAAGTACCTTCCTTCACTGCTTGGGATGATATGATTAAAATAAAGCGAGGAAATTGTGGAGAGCCATGATCGCCAACGTGCTGAAGGTACACGATAATAATAAGAAGAAGAATAAGAATAAGAAGAAGAATTCTAGCTAGTTTAATCTCCCACTTTTAACGCGGCATGAAAATTGGACAGTTGCCATTTTGACGATGGGCCTTTCATCCCCCATTAGCGAGAGTAAAGGCAACCATTTTTTTTTTATTTTGCGGATCGCCGTAACCAGTCTGTTTATTGGCCGACCATTAATACAGAAACAAGCGAAATACAACGAATGAATACACGAGCATTGATATTAATAAATAATTTGCTCTTTTGCCGACTGGAAATATCACCAATCCGAGGATATCCGTAGGCCTGCTTTTAAAATGGCGAGGAAGATTTTTTTAAGCCGGTTTGAATGTCAAACACTGTTAGCCTGGATGAATTCGATTTTTGTTTTGTTTTTTAACTGACTTGATCGTTTCTCTAAAACACTTATTCTATGTCGTGTCTCTTTGGAATTAGGGACGATCATGACTCTCCACAACTTTCTATAAGCGCAATAATACGCTGGCGCCGAGGTCTCACCAATTGACACTTGAACTGGCTAGATGTAACCGCAAATTTCTACGCTAACAGTTTCTTTTCTCGCACTTCTCGCTTGTGGAACTCTCTTCTGGCTCCATGCTTTCCAGCCAATCTGCAAAAAATTTAAATGCAATGTGAATCGCTATCTACTATCTTCTTGACTGCTTTTCTTTTGTTTTCGCTCCTTAGCAATATTCCCCACTCTTCCACACACAGTAATCCCTTGTGTCTCAGAGGCTTTACTGTCTTGCTTGGTGTAAATTAGATTAAAAATAAAAGTAAAAGAAAAAAAAACTCTTAGTTTGGCTTTTAAGCATCCCTTCTACTCCCTGTTCTGCCAACCATTTACACAGTCCTGTTAAGCACATTAATTGTTGTTTCTCTTGCTTTCAGTATTTCCTGTGAGTGTTAAATTCGCCAAGTCATGTTTCCTCATTATGCGTCCTAGAAATTTCAACGGTCTCATTCGGATTCCATGTGCTGTTTTCCTTTCCCTAAAAACTTCCTCTTTACTCGCATGTTCAGTTCACTGTATACCCAGCATCCTTCTGTAGAAACATATATCTGTTGCCTCAAGTCGCTTCTTTCATTTTTAAGGAAATTGTCAAAAATTATATATCATGCCTTATAGGATGAGTGAATTTTACATAGCAGTTCGGCAAGTTTTCCTTTCTTTCTGTATGCTTTTTAAAAGCCAGTTAGACTTAAGAATCCATGGTTCAATGTTCGTCCCCTGGTAGCGCCTCCAAGCTGGAAGATATAATATTTATAAAGTCCTTCTATCCACTTAACTATTTAAAGTCTGATGATGTCAGTCCATTTGTACCTCTGTCAACCTCTTCTTCTTTTGCCTAAGAGGGTACTTTGTAGGATTTCATTTACCTGATCTCTCCACTGACGTCGTGGGTATGGCGATAAACTACATCCGCGTCCTGGGTAAGACGATAAACTGCATCCGCCTCCTGGGTAAGGCGATAAACTGCATCCGCTTCCTGGGTAAGACGATGAACTACATCCGCTTTCAGGAAAGACGATAAACTACGTCCAACAGCAAGGCCTCTGATCAGAAGGTTTTGAGGAGCATGGAATTGCTGGTGTTCCCAGGTCCACCCTGACCCAGGGTGGTAGCACCTGTTAGGGTCCCAGCTATGGGCAAATAGTTAGCCTCCCCAAACTGGGGTCAAAACACTATGGAAGTGTAAAAATAGGGTTTAATACCAGAAATACATTGTAAAAAATTTATTACCAGCAATACATTTTTTGAAAAAAAAAGATGATACCAGCTATACATTTTTGAAAAAAAATTTTAGCAATAAAAATTTTGTCGTCTGTAATAACCCATTGAGGTTTTGATATGCCGTAAAACAAAAGAAACGTGAACCTCAACCTCTCCACCGAGGTAGGATGCAACACAATGTCGATTGTTTTTTTATGTGGGGTTCCCATACGCGTGCATATGAACCAGTGATAAAAAAATAATGGTCCAGTCCCCGCGACCATTGTCACGCGGGAATCGATATTACAGAGACCTCGTTTCATCTATTGCAATTAGAAATGTACTGCCGCAGAATTGGAATCCCGAGAACCTAGTGCCTTCTCCCATGTAAAATGAGGAGAACATATATACTACGCTTTGATCCCGGCCGGAATGAAAAGATGGCTCTTACAACGCATCCATAGCATTTCAACTTTCTCTTCTTGATGGAAATTATGATGTCTTCGACTGAATCTGCTCCTGATTTTTAATGGCGGCTCGTACTGTGTAGATTTGTTGCGATCTGTGTAGGAGATGCTAATGATGGTCCTGTAGCATCTCATTTCTATTGCTTTGATTCTGTGGAGTAATTCTCCTGTTAATGTCTAAGAATCTCAGATGAACAGAAAGACTTAGAAGGCCAGTGTTTGCAGCAGTTAGAAATTTGATTTAAATAAGATGTTCTTGTCTTTCTAGATGGTTCTCAGTTTTTCTGGGTCCCCTTCACTGATAATCGAATCAATATATTTGATTGCCTGACTACTTCAAGTCCTTAACAATCGATTACTTGAAATTTCCTTGTAATTGCTCGTCAGGATTTGATTTTATTTTATATTAGGGGTATTATATCCGAAGGAGGTTACTTAACCAAAACTAACGAGTTTCTCTTCTTTGTAAGGTAGGCATTCTCTGTCGCCTTCAAAGCGAAGTTTGGTGATGTGACCTCAGATGTTGACTGTACAGTGGTGCGTCTCAAGCGCGTAACTATTCACAACTTCAAGTAGCCTTTCTCAACCAGTTGAGCCAAGTTAAGAGAAGAGTAATTTATGAAGGATTTTTATATAAAAAAACAGGTTTTACACAAGGATACTTACATATAAAAGGCAGTTTTTTAATCATTTCACCCCAAGAAGGGCAACAAATCGACTAAGACGCAAGGAGTTCCCTTAGTGTAAGAGAATATAAGACAAAACAGGATAAAGGAGCAAAAACAATAAAAGAATGGAAATTAAGTTCCTTCCTACATATCTATCTATCTCAGTCAGTTCATATTTATCTATCTACATATCTATACTAGTCAGTCCATATCTATGTCAGTCAGTTCATATCTATCTATATATCTATGTCAGGCAGTTCATATATATTTATACCAGTCAATTAATATCGATCTATCTATATATCTATGTCAGTCAGATGATATCGCCATATATATATATATATATATATATATATATATATATATATATATGGCAGTCAGTTCATATCTATCTATGTCAGTCAGTTCATATCAATCTATATATCTATGTTAGTTCATATCTATCTATACCAGTCAGTTCATATCGATTTATATATGTCATTCAGTTCATATAGATCCATCTATTTCAGTCAGATCACATCTATCTATCTATTTATCTCAGTCATTTCACATCTATCTATCTCAGTCAATTCACAGCTATCTATCTATCTATCTATCTATCTCAGTCATTTCACATCTATCTATCTATCTCAGTCATTTCACATTTATCTATCTATCTATCTCAGTCAATTCACATTTATCTATCTATCTAACTCAGTCAATTCACATCTAGCTAGCTAGCTATCTATCTATCTATCTCAGTCAATTCACATATATCTATCTAGCTATCTCAGTCAATTCCCATCTATCTATCTCAGTCAGTTCCCATCTATCTATCTATCTATCTATATATATATATGAGATAGGCAGGGTGGTATTTTCTTATTATGTGCCTTACTATTCGGACAAGCATGTACAACGGCCGAAATGTTGTGAGTTTACAAACCAAGATGAGCACGTTGGTATACCTTTATTTTAAACCCCGATATTCATAGGCCCTTGGTTAATATGTAACATGGGTAACTGAACTACTGTAATTTACTTTGTTTTTTTTTGTTTTTTTGCTGTTGTTATGGCTGTTTTTTCTTTTTGGAATATTTCAGAGCAATCATAAATCATTATCTTCCCCCATTTTGCGATAATGTACTGTTTTATTTATGATAGGTGGGCGAACGGCCGAAGAATTGAATTTGCAAAATATGCCATCGGGAGATGCATCTCGAAAAGCTGGTCGTTTCCCCCGTGTTTTGAAATAACATGATTTCAATTAAAGATATCATCGGAGTTACATCATTATCATCAGTTGAATTGAGTCGAGAGCAGATGATTATAATCAAAAGGACGCGTAGAAAGGAGACGGGGATCCATTTGCTAATGGATAACAACAAAACCATTAACTTAGAAAGGAAAGAAAAAACATAAACTAGGCTTTAGAGTGGCTGTGTCTTTTGTCGTCTTTCGAAGTACATGAACTTAATGGTAGATAAACTTGCACACACACACAATAGATAGATAGATAGATAGATAGATAGATAGATAGCTAAATGATTGATAGAGAGAGGTGGGGAGAGAGATTGAAAAAGATAGATAGAGACTGATATAGACAGATAGCTAGCTAAATAGATTCATAGAGAGAGGTGGGGATAGATAGATAGATAGATAGATAGATAGATAGATAGATAGATAGATAGATACTGATATAGACATATAGCTAGGTAAATAGATTGATAGAGAGAGAGGGGAGAGAAATTGAAATAGATAGATAGATAGATAGATAGATAGATAGATAGATAGATAGATAGATAGATAGATAGATAGATACTGATATAGACTGAGATACATAGACAGAAAGCATAGACTGAGCTGGAAAAGAAATGCATTAAGATAGATAGATAGATAGAAAAGTTGATAGTCTATAAATCTTCAAGCGACTCATCTCTTGACACAGACACAGCTTTATAGTGGCTCTCTATCTTTTTATCTACCATAATACGTAATTTTGATTCATAATCATGCACACACACGCATCTGTACACACACACATACACATTATATGCATATATTTATGGAAGTGAATTTTTAAGTCAAGACCCAGAGGCGACAGTCTATTTCCTGCTAAGCGCATTTGTCAGGCCATGTGCACATTGCCTGGCGATTGCGTTGAGCATCAAACAGACAGTCTGGGTTTTGACATCCATGTCTACTTTTATATTCACATACGCTCTATGCATGATATTTAGCACTTTAATCCATAAACATAGCATACCTTAAAACTATATTTTAGCATTATAATAAATCAAGAAAAACCTTAAAAATCCATCTCGGTTATAATTTATTTCATGAATATATTATATTCATCTCGTCAAACCAAAAGTTGTTTTTTTTTCAAAATGAAATCAATCCAGTCGTTCAGATAGAAAAAAAAGAAAAAGGGAAAAATAATAATAAAAAAAGAGAAAGAAAAAGAAAAAAAAAGTAATGTAAAATTTAAGAAAAAGCTTAAGGTAAGAAAGAGAGAGGGGGAAAAGAGAGACAGAGGGAGAAAAAGGAATGGGGAGAAGGAGGGAGAAAGAGAGGAAGAGAGATTGAAAGAAAAGAAGAAAAGGAAGAAATAAATGAAGCTCTCCTTGGATCAATGCCCGCCTTACAATTATCCCTACAATTACAAATTGGTATTATATATATATATATATATATATATATATATATATATATATATATATATATATAGATAGATAGATAGATAGATAGATAGATAGATCTGGGCAAAGATTGTGATAGATAGATAGATAGATAGATAGATAGATAGATAGATAGATAGATAGATAGATAGATAGATAGATATGGGCAAAAGATTGTGATAGATAGATAGATATATATAGATAGATAGATAGATAGATAGATAGATATATTGATTTATATAAAATTGTATAGATAGATAGATAGATAGATAGATAGATAGATAGATAGATAGATAGATAGATAGATCTGGGCAAAGATTGTGATAGATAGATAGATAGATAGATAGATAGATAGATAGATCTAATAAAGATTGTGATAGATAGATAGATAGATAGATAGATAGATAGATAGATAGATAGATAGATAGATAGATAGATCTGGGCAAAAGATTGTGATAGATAGATAGATAGATAGATAGATAGATAGATAGATAGATAAATTCAAAGATTGATAGATAGATAGATAGATAGATAGATATTTTTTTTTGGGATAGATAGATTGATAGATAGATAGATAGATAGATAGATAGATAGATAGATAGATTTTAATAGATGGGATAGATAGATATGAACAGACTGAGATAGATAGATAAAAACAGACTGAGATAGATAGATAGATAGATAGATAGATATGAACAGACTGAGATAGATAGATAGATAGATAGATAGATATGAACAGACTGAGATAGATAGATAGATAGATAGATAGATAGATAGATAGATAGATAGATAGATAGATATGAACAGACTGACATAGATAGATAGATAGATAGATAGATAGATATGAACAGACTGAGATAGATAGATAGATAGATATGAACAGACTGACATAGATAGATAGATAGATAGATAGATAGATAGATAGATAGATATAGATGAGATAGATAGATAGATAGATAGATAGATAGATAGATAGATAGATAGATAGATATAATAGACTGAGATAGATAGATAGATGAAGATATGATAGATAGATAGATAGATAGATAGATATGAACAGACTGATAGATAGATAGATAGATAGATAGATAGATAGATAGATAACAGACTGAGATAGATAGATATGAACAGACTGAGATAGATAGATAGATAGATAGATAGATATGAACAGACTGAGATAGATAGATAGATAGATAGATAGATAGATAGATAGATAGATAGATAGATATGAACAGACTGAGATAGATAGATAGATAGATAGATAGATAGATAGATAGATAGATAGATAGATAGATAGATAGATAGATAGATCTGGAAAGAATTGAAATAGTTTCTAAATTAATGATTAAGCGTCTTAACTCTTCAATTACGTTACAGTTTTGTCTAACACCCCTCCTCAAGATCAGAGGATACGATAAACATGGAATTAATTATTACCAGATAATATATTTATAGATCAAATATTTGGAATAAAAAGAAGAGTTGAAATCTATGGTACACATCATGAAGAAAGAGGGGGACACATCAACGTGGTGTAGTGGATAAGCTAGCTTGCCTCGCTTGATCAATTACGATTGAATAGCGACTTCGATCCTCAAACTTTTGGCCTTGTTCTTCGTCTAAGGTACACTTAGAAAACCATCATAATGATGAAGAATGAGAACCTGAAGAATTTGACTCTCAGAGAACATATTAATGGCAAGAGGAATAGTATTAACTAGAGAGTAACATACCTACGGACTTTGTGTGAATGGATCATAGAACTAGAACTAAGAAAGATAGTTAGGAGACACAAATTACTTAGAGCTAGAAAGAATAGGAAACTGTGGGAAAGCATGATCGTCTACATCCTGAAGCGCTATTGTGCATAAAAGAAGAAAGAACTTAGTAATAATCTTCTATATAAATAAGCGGCAAATTTTGTCTGTCCGTCCATGTGTCTGAAACCCCTCTAACTCATTTGTTTTGCATAGACATATTACATCTTTTAGAATCAGGATGATCCCCGGGATTGAAAATATACCCTTAGGCTGGCTCTTAAACATCCAGCATTGGGATTCGTGCCCGGATGTGTAGGGGATAGTTAAAAATTCAATTATAAGTGAGCAAATTAGTGCTTTTAAAAGTTTTTTTAAAAATTTATATTGAGTTTAAAAATGTGTGAATTTAATTTGTTTTTGTTTTAAATTCAATTTAAAATATCATCAAAACTTTTTTCGTTGTGGAAAAAAGATTTATTTCTTCAAAATACCAAGGAACCTGAGTTAAAGTGAGAGGTTTCGTGACGTAAGGTTTTGAAGTTCCGCAGAATTTGTGATTTGAAGAACTCAATTTTCGGCTTGAATTGAAATTTCGGCTCAAATCGGAGTTTCGGCTGGAATTGGATTTAAAGTTATGTTTTGAAGTTCCATGGAGTGAATTGAAGAATTCAAATTTATTTCTTCAAAATTACCATTGCTGTTTTCTAAACTGGACCAGAGTTCCTTTTAGTTCGGGCCAGAGACCAAATTCACCCTCCGCTGAACGAAGTGCGGCTTTTAAGCTAGTGATAAATAATCCTGTTACTAATCGTGATTTTCCAAGCGTAGCTTAGAAGTAGCACAAGGCTGAAAGTATGAGGCACCCAGTGAGGATCGAACTCACTGTTCAGTCGTAATTGTTCTAGCGATAACCATTACACCGCTACGAGGTGCCCTTTTATTTTCTAAGCGTGGCTTAGATATGGCACAAGGCCAAAGGTATGATACACCCAATGAGGATCGAACTCATTACTCAGTCGTAATTGATCTAGCGAGACAAGCTAGCTAATCATTACGCCACGCCGAGTTGCCAAATCCTGTTAGTAATATTACTATTAAATTATTTTGGTTTGTTTGATAAAAATTATTTACTATGCCTTTTATTGAATTTTTTTTCTTGGGAAATTATTGAGCCCACTGCATTGAATATTTTATTATAAGGTTGGTGCAAAAAATAATGACGTAATAATGTCGTTTTTTGATGTATTTTTTAACGTCAAAAAACGACATTATTACGTCATTATTTTTGCACCAACTAAATAGTAACACTATTTTGAATGCTTGCGTACAGTATCGCCGTACGCACGTACATTTTCCTTATAGTCATATCTCGTCCATTTTACACCTTTTTTTCTTTCTATCCTTCGGTTATTAATAAGCG